TTTTTTTTTTTGCCAAGGAAAATTGTCAAATATTCATTAGTGTTGTATAGATGCTTATATATTGCCTATTAATTTTTTTATTATATTAAAAAAGGTAATATAATTTTTCAGTTAAAAAAAAAATGTTTTATTTATCATCTTGAACAAAGTTTTTACCATGCAAAAAAGACCATACACATTATTTCAGTTGGCAGAATTTATATATTAGAATTATTCTGCTATACTCGCAGTTTGATATACTTTGGATGGTCTTTTCAGATAATCGACTCGACCTTGGAGGACCTTTTCAGTAAACAAAGCTTGAATCTTCAAATGCGGTTCTTTGTTGTCTGATTGAGAAAAATGTCTTTTTATAAGTGTTTCTTTTTTGTATAAATTTTACTTGCAGAAATACACTTAAATGATAATTGGATCATTCCCATATAAAAGTATAAATATGAAACTAATTTACATAAGATCTCAAATTACAGTGCAATCAGAAGCATTTTGAAAAAGGAACAAGGTGAAAAATCTTATCTTTTCTTTGGAAATATGATAAATAATAACAATAGCTATAACACTAATCATAATTAAATAGACTTGCTATCAACTTTCTCTTCTCTCCTTGTATATGTTGTATGTTTTAAAGTATGGTCCTTATGCTGCTTTTCAAAATCTTTATCTTTGAGATATTTTGTTAATAATCTTCTTGGTAATTATAATAGAACTCAATATTTTACTTAACATATATATAATTAATAGAATAATAAAACAACAACACTCACATTTTGTCATCTGTCAAACAATAGATTGTTTTCCAAAGAAAAAAAAATCAATTCGCGTCCATACATGATGGCGAAATAGTTTTGTTTCGACAATAATTTCGACTATTAAGGTTCAAAAATCAAAATCGAAATTCGAAATCAAAATCGAAATTCGAAATCAAAATCGAAATTTGTAATCAAAATTCGAAATTCGAAATTAATAAATAACTTTTTTCATTTTTGCATTAATGTCTTTAAAGTGCTTTTATTTCAATTTTTTGAATTTCGATTTTGATTTTGAATTTAGATTTCGATTTTGAATTTAGATTTCGATTTTGGATTTCGATTTTGATTTTAGATTTTGATTTTAATTTCGCCAAGGGTATTTCGATTTCGAAAACTTGTGTGATTTTTTCGAAAGTTTCGAATT